AACTTTAACTTAATTTAAATCATAAAAAATCTCAACCAACTTTTATCATCAATATGTATTAAATCCAAAATTCAAATGCTAACTTTTAAATATAAATTTTTTTTTGATTAAATCATTATAGTTTTACTAACATTTGACTTTTTCCTATGTATATTACTTTAGATATTTGGATTAATTATATATAAAGCATATGAATTAAAATAAAATTTAGATATATTTCTTTTAAAATATAATTTTCTAATAATATACATGTGCCGCTTTTAAATTTGAAAGTTTCAATATCTTCATAGATTTCCTTATAATCTTTTAATATTTGATTTTTTTAAAATTCAAAAAAATTAAAATCACTTATTATATCTTTTATACTTTCAAAATCTTTTAACATTTTTTCGATTGAACTTACATTGAATACAGGTTAAATATTAAGTATGTATTTCCACATCTAATAATTCTACAAGTATATTATTTTTATTCAAATTTTATTTTTAATGCAAATTTCTTAATATTTTTTTAATGGTTTAATCAATATTACATTTAAGTTAAGGTATGTCAATTCTTTTTTGAGTTAATTTTATTTTCTAACATTGTTGTTTTTTTTTTTAACTCTTTTTTTATTTACTTCACATTTTTTAATAATTTTAATTACTTTTTTTTTATTAAGATCATAATTTTCAAACACTAAAACAAAAGTTGGAGGTACATTTTTTTTGTTATGCCAAAAAAATCATTGAATAAAAAAAATAGTTTTATATCATTTATAGATAATATATATGTATTTCATTCATTAAATTTTTGTATTATGTATTGAGTTAACTTTGTGAAAATCCTACTCTATGTGAAGATCTTACTTAGATGTCAAATAATTGATTAGTCATTAATCTTACTACTTATTTTTTGGATATATGAAACTTCTCATAATGGTTTTTAACATGCAAGGTTATGTTTATTATAATGTTTTATTAAATGAAAAGTGAAAAACAAAAATAGGGTAAAGAGAATAATTATTGTTGTTACTACTATATTTAAAATTTTAAATATTTATGTTTTTAACTTTTATATTAACACATTTTTTCTCAAGTAAAAAGTGATAACATGAATTGTGCATATGAATATTAAGCCACAAAATATTATTTTTTGTGAAGATAATGATAGTAAGTTTTACTTAGTCAATAAATATTTTTCAATTCAAGAATTTCTAGATTATTTTTTACTGTTTTGTAACTTAAGTAGGTTTATATATATATATATATATATTAACTTGAGTAGATTTCATACATTAATTATTGGTTTTGAAATCACATAGATTTAAAAGTGGGAATCAACTACATTCCAAAGAAATTTTTTTAGATCCAAAATAATATTTTTTTATCTATTGGTTACATAAATATTTTATAGTTAGCTTATGTTTAATTGTTAATAGATATTTTAATATAATCTATCTAGTTTGTTTGTAATAATAAATTTTAAATAATAATTTCATAAATTTGAAATATTTTAATTAATAAATAAAATTAATCCATACATCACACGGATCATAAAGTAGTATATAAATATTTTAAATTCATCTAATGTGACACAAACAAAAATTCCTAATTCCTTTACACATATCTAAAGCCATTTGGTGGATATAAACATACTAAGGCTGGAAAGCATATAGGACGGTGGACATAGGATTTTTTGACATTTGAAACAAAGAGATTCAAGTTTAGATCTAAGGTCAGTTTTTTTTTTTTTTAAAAATTAGATTTCGGGTCAGGTTGGGTCAAATAATGTTAAGAAAAAATTGAGGTTGGGTCGGGTTCAAGTTTTAGGCAAACCCAACCCAATATTATATAACAATTATTTTTTAATTAATTATTTAATTTTTTATTTATATATTTATTTATATAATTATATAATTATATTTTAAAAATAATATTTTATATTTAAAAAATAATATTTTATTAATTTTAGGTCGGGTTAAGTTGGGTCGGGTACGATATATACAATATCAGGTTAGGTCGGGTTCGAGTATGAAAAAAAAAAAAAACTTCGCGTCAGGTCGAGTTCGAGTTTTAAGAATATAAAGTTGGTCGGGTTCAGGACGAGCAAAAACGCATCCCGACCCGACTTGTTGTCATCTTTAGTATTGGGTTTCACTTAATTTTTTGCAAGGAAGATTTTTGGATTTTAGAAAGAAAAGGTTTGATTTAGAGATCAACATATATATATATATATGTATTTGATAATTTAGCCTTAGTAGTGGTATTTTCAGACAAGTAAGGAAAAAATACAATGTGATTACCAATAAACTCTCATTTAATTTAAAAGAAAATATTTAATATGACATATATTAAATTAAAATGAAACAATTGTTTTAATTTTATGTTAAATTATATATACATTATATTAAATTATAATTTACTTTTAATTAAATAAAAACATTAAGTTATATAATAAAATATAAATATTTTTAAAAATAATATAAATGAAGGGGTTAAAAACACTCCTAAATTATAATTTAAAAATAATTTAAATGCTTAATATTTTATTACAATTAATCGAGTTCTTAATTTTTTATTTCGACTAATTGAACCCTTAATTAGATAAAATTTAGCGACATGATAAAATTAAATCAATTAATTTTTGAACAATAATAAATTGGATCTTTAAAAAGATCTTAAAAAGAAAAAAATAAAAAGCAAAAAGAAAAAATAATTTAATTTAATTTTCTTATATATTAATTGCTTCACGTGACAAATTTTTATTTATTTTATTATTGTCACATGGAATTTTATTTTAGTTGACAAAAAAAATTAATAATGTTAATTTTTTCATCTAAATAAAACTTAATTAGATGCAAATAAATATTGAGTGGATTGATAAATTGCAATAAAAAAAAAAGCTAGATGATATTTTTACTTATAATTCAAAGGCTTTTTATACTATTTAGCCTAAATTAAATTTGCATATGCTTTTGTATTATTTAATTTGTAAATAATTAATTTCATATATTTATTTTCATAATTAAAAAATATATGATTACATTAATATCATGTTAAAACACACAAAAATAAAATTTTATTTAAATAAATAATTAATTTTTTAATATGATTTAATTTAAAATTATATATTAAAATTTAGTAAAAAATTATAAATATTAAAAAAAATCCCTGACAATTTGGGGAACAACAATCTAGTAAAATATAGAAATAAACTAATTTAAATATAAATACAAAATAATTAAAAATTTTAAAAACTAAAATAATTAATAATGGTCAAGGGACCAATACAACGTCTCATAGACCCTTATGTCGAGTGGTGTAATCGATTGAGTTGAGTCGATATAATATTAAGTTCGAGTTCAACTTTAAATTTGAAGCTCAAAACTCAGTTCGAACTCAATCGAATTTTATTTTTTTAGTTCAACCTCAACTCAAAATTAAAATCGCGCTATTCGAGTAAGCATATTAGACTTAATTAATATGTAAAAATAAGTTTGATTAATATATTCGATAAAAGTTTGATTATTTGTACTTAAACGTGAGTTCGAGTTGAGATATTTTATTAATTAAAATAATAAAAATTTATTAAAATATAAAAATTAGATTAAACTCGTGAGCTACTCAAGTCAAAAATAAAAATACTCGAATTCGACTTGATCGATAAATCAAGTTACTTGAATTCGAACTTGACTTGATAATAATCAAGTCAAATTCAAATTTTATTTAAATCAAATCCAATATCTTACTAATACTAATGATTGATACCCCTACTTATACCTCCAATCTAAAATTGCCTGCGGTTGAACACTACACGCTTGTGATTCAAATGGTTTGAAATAGTGGAATTACAACAAAATGTTGCTAAATCACCCCGTATTGGGATAACAATCAAATCCAAATGGGGTTTTATTCATTCACAATTTTGTTCAAAAGTACTTAATTTATGATTAAAGAGCTAAAAAAAGTATCTTTCAATTATAATTCAATAATCGATTAAATTTTAATATTTTATTACAATTAATTAAAATTTTAATTTTTTATTTCGATTTAATTGAACTTTTAATTAAATAAAATTATACATGCTACAAAATTGAATCAATCAATTTTTAAATTACAATCAATTAAATCTATAAAGAGATCTTAGAAAGAGAAACAATAAAGAATAAAAAATAAAGAATAAAATTTTATTTTATTTTATTTTTACATATATTAATTAAGTTAAATATCAAATTTTCGTATATTTTATTAATTTCACATAGAATTTTATTTTAATTGACAATTTTTTTCATTCAAATAACAGCTTATTTAATTAGATGATTTATTATAATAAAAAATATAATTTTTTAATTATAGTTGAGGAGTTTTTTATATCTTTTAATCTTAATTAATCTTGTGAAAAATATTTAATTAGGTGGAAGATTCAATAAATTTTTTTCTGTACTTTATTTTTTTAAGATGAACTTTTATATGTACAATCAAATACTTTAATTTCCAAATATTATATATTACGGGACCATGTAAGCTTAAAAATGAAACACTTCAAGCCTTTTGTTATTGCTTTCCTCTTCTCGGTTTTCTTCTTCTGTCTCCTTTCAACATTTCCAGCCGACCAATGAGACTACCCATTACCCACTAAAATATTCGTTTCCTCTTTTTCATTGTTTGGCTTTATTTTTCTATAAGAAAAAAAACTGCATCTGGTTAGAACCAATAAGTGATGTAAAGTTGTATATGCAACTGGTGACATAAAGAGTATATGTAAAGTTGATGCAATCCATTGGCGTTCCTAAGCCAAGATTGAAGATTCATTACCTTTATCAATGGCGGCCATGCAAAGCAATAACCTTTGCGAAGGAAAAGGCCCAAGCCATTCCTTTCTTCTTTATTATGACTATTACTTCCTTTCTTACCAAGCATAGAACAACCCCCCTTCCATTTTCATGATATATTAGATTAGTTCTAAGCAAATGTTGATAGAACATTTCTTTTGATATCAACAGAAAAGAATATTCAACCATGCCGATATATGAATCATCAGAGTCCGACAATGAGACCACCCCACGGGTAAAGCTGTTTGGACGTCAAAGGCCAATGCATGCTATTCTTGGAGGAGGAAAAGGTAATTCTTCTCTCTCTCTCTCTCTCTATATATATATATATATATATATATTCACTTTTGTATTTGGTACCAAGGAAAAGGTTGGAATGAAGGGAAATGTTTTGGTCCGTGGTTAGGATGTGTCTGCTCCTTTCGGATACTTTTGGTTGATAATTGGATGCGACAATGTTCCCCTCTTCTACTTTTCCTTCACAAAACATGTTAAACATTGGATTTTATTGAACAATATTGGGATTAAACCTAGTTGCCATGGAACTGACCGTTTTATCAAAATCTTTCTCATAAATTTTATTGTGGTAATAACTTTGATTAATTACCATCCAAGGAAACATTTTGACCATTCAGAAACTGAAATTGCAGTTGCTGATGTATTACTGTGGAGGAACAGAAACGCGTCCGCCGCATTATTAATTGGAGTATCAGCAATATGGTTTCTTTTCGAGGTAGTTGAGTACAATTTCGTGACCCTTCTCTGTCACATCTCCATTACCACAATGCTTGTGATCTTTATATGGTGCATGACTGCAGAGTATTTTGGATGGTAGTTTTACTTCACCACCGAAAATTTCCTATTAATTTGCAAAACTTGTTTTTCAATCCGTACATCGATCCCATATTGATTCATAAATCATATCCAGGAATCGTCCGCAGATCCCTGAATTGTTATCTAATGAACATACCTTCCAAGAAGTTGTTTCCAACTTCCATTTGAGGTTCAACCAGTACTTGCGATATTTCCTTCACATTGCCGGTGGAAATGACCCCGTACAATTCTTTTTGGTATCACCATCAAAACTCTCCTTCCATAAATCTGATCTAGTCCTCAAAAAATTTACTTATGCACTCTTCTATCGCTATATTAATTATCTACAGGTAATTATTTCTCTGTACATAATATCAGTGATCGGATCATGTTTTGACTTCGTGAATCTCCTGTTCATTGGTATGGTTTATCATCTAATGTGTTACTATTGGTAGTTTTAAGGCATTGAGCATTGCAGTAATTTGTTTTTCTTTATTGAATCAAGGCTTTCTCTGCATGGAGACGCTGCCATATCTGTACAATCGATACGAGAGGGAAGTTGATTATCATGCTGGGCAAATGACCCGAAAAGTGAGCAAAATGTACAGATGGTTTGATTCAAGAGTTCTTAACAAGATACCGAGAGGACCAGTGAAGGACAAGAAGCACACATAAATAATGAGTAGCGCCCAAAATTAGGATTTCCTCTTTGTTCATTTCCATAAACAGAAGCTACAGAATTCATGTTGTACTGTTAAAGTTCTTACCATAGCATAGAAGGTAATGAAATTTGTTCGATGCATGGGTGATCAAATAAAACAGATTCACATTTTGGATAATGAATAAATTGAAAGGGAAGCTGGAATTAGTCATGTATCATTGTGGAAGTTTGGCAGCATAACACCAATCATTCAACCAACAGATTAAGAACGACCCTCATTCCGATTAATGAATCTAATAAAGCAACAGAAGCTGCCTGCTCTCCTCTATACTATCAATTTGCTGTCCACTTTCACACCACTACTCCTTCGGTCCTGGGCTGGGCTGACGAAGGGTATGTCCACAAATCTCTCCCTCAACTTCATTTCCACCTTCTTTGTATCTTCAATAGATTCGCATGCCGGAGAGGAAATCTTAGATTAATTGTAGCCTATCAAGTTAAACAGAACCTTGATTCTCTGGATATGGTTTTAACCCATTGTTACATACTGCAGCCAAAACTTCATAAATTCAAGTACTGCTCAAATTGTTCATCATCAGTTTTAACCCATTGTTTAACAGGTTTTGAAAAAGAAATCTTGTGCTAAAATCCTTTTGGACCATTACATAATTAAACAAGCACATGTAGAGAGATTAGGAGGAAGCCAACAAACACTAGCAATGACACGATCCAATTTTTTTTTTGGTAGTTTTCGAATGATTTAACGCAAAACCCAATTTCTAATTGGCCTCCACAAGCAACTTAATGTTTGTGGAAACTCTTAAAAAGTGTGAAGCGTCCACTTAGGCAAATAATTGCAATTTAAACCCTTTTTTCCACAGTAACTTCATAAGATTGGACTAGTTCCAGCCAGCCCCACCTACTACTGAGGAAAGTTGTTCTTAAATAATTGAATTATATTTCAAGATGGTGGCCAACCAACTAATTGGTGGTGATCAAACATATTCTTGGAATTTCGACTGTCATGGATTAAAATGACATTTTGGCAGTTAACATTGCTTGTTTCTAATCAATTTTTGTGTGACAAGAAAAAGTGGAAGTACATTGTAAAACTAACCATCATACAAAGTATATTATGGTGGTGCATGTTGGCCCACTATTTTCATGTCAAATTCCAATGGTTTTGCCTGCCAATTCTAGTGCAAGCAAGAAGAATCCCTAAAAGCTGAAACCTTAAAGCAGGAGTGAAAAAGAAATATCTCACTATGGCTTTATGAATATTGGAGCAAATATTATTATAACTATTTTTATTATTATCATTATTATGCTTTTACTAAGTCATTGACCTGATAGAAAAGTATATACGAAGACTCACTGCCTCAGTTTGGAATGCTTATTTCACTCAAGGAGAACCACCATCCACCAATACCACCACTGCAGGCTTGGGGAAGAAGATAAAGGAGAGAGAAGATGGTAAGGTAACCCAAAGTAATTATTGATCAGGATGGAACTGTTATTGGTGGGATTGGTGGTGTTTTTCTAGTATTTTGGGCTGCCCTGGTTACCTTATCTTTTATTTCAGCCATAATTTTCTCTTATGCAGGTGGTGTATCCAAGGACAAAACAACTTCAGGTGATAAAAAATTTTATGGTGGAGGATGTGCTGCTGGTTGTGGCGGTGCTGGATGTGCGCAGCTTGTGGTGGATAAATCCTTTGTTTCCTTATTACATTTACAAACGAGAAATCTTGGACAAGTTCAATTTAGCCTAGTTATTCTGTCTTAAGGTAGCTAATTTGCTTTCTACTTTGAGAGATTGGTAGAATTGTAAATATGGTGTACTAACTATCGAGGCTTAAGCAATTGTAAGTGAAGTAAGGCAGCTGGCTTCCGTTAAGAAATACTATAAATTAAGCCACACCTTTCCCATAACATGTATTTTGTTCCACTTATCACATGGGAAGTGCTGAATGTCAAGACTCATTTAGTTTACCATGTTTTCTCTGATGTTCTCTCCAATGAAGTACATTGATTATGCCAGGATACCGCATATATATATATATGTATGTATGTATAAATAGGTTGCTAAACATCCATATTTTTTTGCATTAGATACATTCTAACTTTGGGTGTGGGGACTAAATGATCTCACTATACTTAATATGAGTTGGATATACAGTTGGTCTTGTCATTAATTTCCGATAGCTGCAGACTGCAGATAATGATATTCCGAGGGAATACTGAATAGCGAATAGCATGCTGCATGCTACTTCATCCCATCTCTAATTAATTATAATTAATATGCACAATTATCCTTTACCATATGATCAGATCAAGTTTGAGTTGATTCTCTCTTTTACTCCTGCAAATCAATAAACCATATGTATACACCACTGTTTCTTGTTTTCTCCCCAAGAATGAGGTGATATTAATCCATAAAATCATTGGCCATTAGAACTGATTGACAGACAAACCATAGAGTTCAATATAAGGCTAAAATAATAGAAAAACCCTTGAATTATTCCTCTTTTCTTAAATAAATTAATTTGTATATTTTTTATATTTTTATTTTGATTTATATCCAAACAAGTCCTTATTTAAAATTTTTTTTGTTAAAAACTTATTTAGGTACAAATTAAAAATTTAAGAGATAGTAAGTTTTCTAGAAAAAGACATCAAGCCCAGCTTCTGGCAACTGATCTAGGAATTCTAAAGAGAAGCGGGATAAAAAAAAAGCTAGAAAGAGACAAGGCTGAGGCATGTTTGAGGAAAAACAAATGACTTTGTCTTTTACACTACGTCAAAATAATGTCGTTTTGAAGATCTACATACTAACCTGTTGACCCGTGTGTTGATCCGCGCTCCAGACCCAACTCGATCACTTGTTTTTTTTTTTTCATTTTTATTATTATTATTTTTAGATTTTCTTTTATTTCATTTATTATTATCATCATCATCATCATCATCATCATTGTTTTGTCTCTGATTATTATTTTACTTATTTTAAATTGAACAATTTATTTTTTTAAACACCTTCATGAATTTCATTTAAAAAAAAACATAAAAAAATATTTCTAAAATAAATTCATGAATTCTACTGAACTATTGGAGGATTTTTAATGAATTTAAAATTTTTATGAAATTTATCAAATTATTGAAGAATTTTATAAATCAATTTTTTTTAAAAAAATTTTGTTTTGCTATCAACTATTGGAAGATTTTTCATGAATTTAAAAATTTTATGAATTTTACCAAACTGTTGGAAAATTTCATAAATTGATTTTTTTCTAATAAAGTATTTTGTTTTGATGCTACCAAACTATTGGAGAATTTGCATCTTAAATTAAATCTTACCAAACTGTTAGAAGATTTAATACATTTTCTAAAAATAAATTTACAAAGAGATATCACCAAACTATTGGGAGATTTGCATTAAAGTAAATGTTACCAAATTATTAGAAGATTTTACTGAGTAAAAATATATTAATGAATCTGACGATGGAGTCTTTTCAGAGTGGAATACTAGTCTCCATGAATACTTCTGATATGAGAGAATTATCTTAAATTGGATACCAAACTATTGGAAAAATTTTAAGATCAAATTTTAATATTAAATATTTTGATAAACTATAAATATGATTAAGGCTTGGATAGTTTGAAATCAAACTATTACCATCCTTTAGATGGGTGCTGTGAGGGTGCTATAACTTTTTTTACATGTAACTGTACTCCTGAATCTAAAATTTACTATTTGAAAATATCTTAAGTCAATCTTAAGATTCTTCTTCAAATAGGACAGATTCAATTAGGTAGTCAATCGCACCTAAACAAAAAAAATTAGTGGCAACTCTTAAAATCTATATCTAGCGATAAGTCCACAGATCTATACGATATGACAGTTTGTAAACACCTATTTTTGTTTGAGACATGCAATCAATTTCTCATCTGTGAATTTCATTGGGATTGTCGGGCCTTGAAAGTGCTTGTGTTTGGGCTTTGAGCCCAATAATTGTTAAATGAATAGGGCTTTAGGCCCAATGAGTTTTTTTATTATGGTTTATTCATTTTTAATTTTATTCCTTACTTTAATTTTTTAACCTTATTTTTTTTTTTTTTTACACTTAGTTTTTGTATAAGAAAACTGAAAAAAGAAAAGGAAAGTAATTGGTAGTTTTTTGGGATTTCAAGTGGGAATTAGGTGAAAAAAGTTTTTTTTATAGGATTTGATGTATAAATGAGAGACTGAAATCACATAATAATTGACCACAATCAATCGTGATAAAATCTCGAGATTTGAGTTTGGATTAATTTTGTTTAAGCCCTAAAATCACTGTTAAAATAGGCTATAAATTGGACGTGGAATTGCATAGAAAAAGGAATAGAAGGTATTGAGTTTTCTTGCTATTTGGACGAATCTAGTTTTTTTTTTTTTTTGGCTTTTTGAATTATGTTTTTGGAGTAGGATTAGTTGGTCTTTTGGAGGTTTTTGGGATTTGATAAGAAATAAAACTGATTGGAATCTTTTAGGAATTTTTTTTTTTAAAAGGAAAATCTAGATTTTAGATGAACATATGAATGTTTTGGTTAAATTTTCTGGCAAGATTTGAAGTTTTCAACCAAGTTTCGATAAGTTTTCTAGAAATCGATGGTCAAGCCCAGTTTTTGGCAATTGATCTAGGAATTTTGAAAAGAAGTAGGAGGAGGAAAAAAAGCTAGAAAGAGAGGGCTAAAACAGGTTTGAGGAAAAATAAAGGACTTTGCTTTTTATACTACGTCAAAACAACGCTGTTTTGAAAACCTTCGACCCACATATCGACCTATTGACCCACGTGCTAATTCGCGCTCCAAACTCAACTTGGTAAGAGGTTTTTCTTTTTTTTTAAACATTTTATTTTTTGTTTGCATTTTTTATTATTTTTAGATTATTTTTTATTTCATTTATTATTATTGTTATTATTATTATTATTGTTGCTGTTGTTGTTGTTTTATCTTTGATTATTATTTTACTTATTTTAATTGAACAATTTATTTTTT